TGAAATCTAAATAGCAATGAACATTGGAGATGGACATGGTTTGCCTACAATAGAACATCACATTTATGACTAAACATATCAGTAATTTTGTTTGTTGCTCAGACGTCAGGACAGTTAAAAGCTCTTCGGGGATCTGTAACCCCTCAGCAGAGGTGTCCCATTTAAGTAGCCAGACCAGCTACATGGTATCCTATTACAGGAGCTGGGTTTGTCTGTGTGACAGCTGTCAGCCCTGTAGCCATGTAGAGGGGTCGCATCATATACAGCAGGCCTGCTCGGGATGGGCCTTGACGTGTCAAAAAACGCCAACCATTCTCCTCCGTGTAACCTCCATAAGGGGGGGGCTAATGGGTGTGGGGGCAGGGGTCGAAGGGATGGGCCCAGCTGTGGTGTACTCCGGCTAATGGCACTCAGCACAGATGGCGGTCTCTCATCCTCCTGTTAGCGTGTTTGTGTGACTCTATGTGCACAGGCCACTTTCCAACACTGCATTACAATCACGAATGGACCTTAAAATGGGGGTGTGCATGCACCGTGGCATTTAGTGTCAGTGATCAATTATGTAATGTAGATGATTACTGATAAACCTCTGCTGAGCTTTTAGCATGGACATGAATATCCACTGCAGTCGGTTGTCTCAGTCAGTCTGAATGTGATTTGATTTCTGATTTAATTGGTTTGTTTAGTGGCAGACAGTGAGTTTGATTAACTGTGGGTCAGTTTGATTTATATAGGAAAGAGGAAATGGGTGTGTATAGTATTAACCATCTAATTGTTTTTCTGTGGAAGATTTGAGGAAGTAATAGATGGTTTCTGTTTGTCCCTCTTTGGAAGTCACATCACTGAGTTTTTCTCTGTAAGCACAACTGAGAAAAAACATGTGCTTCCCATCAGGTGGTGGCTGAGTGAAAAGCTGTTTTTAATGTGGTAATCTGGGAGATAAATTTGATGACATCTTTGACACCAGAGGCTCATGGTTGTAGTGTTTTGCATTATCCGTAGACAAGGTTTGAGTTTCTTTTTTCCGCATTCTTTTCTTTTCAGTCATGGTTACTGTCGCTGTTCAAACTGATTCCGTTTTATTTGTATAGCGCCAAATAACAGGAGTTATCTCAGGACACTTTTTTTCTCAGGGATCAGGTCTAGACCATACTCCATGAAAATTAGTCAGAGACTGAACAATTCCCACCATGAGGAAGCACTTGGTGACCGTGGCAAGAAATCTCGAGCAGACCCCGGATCTAGGTGGGCGCCCGACTGCCTCAACCTGTTGTGTTTTGGGGGGGGTAAGAGGTATAGCTGGGTACTTAGTGCTGAGGTCTTTTTCTTTTTTTAATTCCTCAGTTTTACTGATAAAAGAAACAAGTGCATTACTTCCTGTTAGCCATCCATTTTGGACTTGGGCCCCAGTTGGCAAAATAGCCTGGATTCGTTAAGCTCCTCATCCAATTAATCTCTTATCAATCAGTTTATCTCTCCCCACTCTTTTATTATTTTATTTATTAACACAGAGCAGTGGGAAACATATAGACTGTAGCAGCTGTAGTTATAGGTTGTGAACATTAATTAGGCTGCCATTAGAAACTGTAAGGTTTCTGCCTTATCAGCCAACAAAAGGTGATTAGACATCCTTGAGTTGTGGTTATTTTAGCCTTTAGCTACTTGTGAATGTTGAAAGGCAAACCTTATCAACTTTGAATCCTTTTAAATCCCCTTTAAGTGGATTTGAGCGCTATCAAACTCCATCCCTACTTCCTGTGTGCCGGAGGATTCTCGTGGTTAAAAACTAGCCAAACACCAGCTGTTTCTGACAGCAAATGTAAAAGCTTGCATGACCTGAAAGGTTGAGTCTTTGTTACGCAAGATGAAGCAAAGCACACATTTATTTAAGAAAAGACACACAGAAAAGTCTTTGCCTTTGGCTGAATCTTAAACTCAATATGATTAGGCTTATGTTGGAGCAATCATCAGTCACTCCTGTATACTAGCAGTAGTCCAGGGCACTAAATGAGTTGTGAATACAGCGTTCTGAATGCATAATGTATGTGCCAGTCCATGGTGAGGGCCACACACAAGGCTACTGTGTAGGCTGTTGTGTGGCCCTGTGAAGAGTGCCTGTCACCAGTGACTGAACGTATTCTTCTTCCATTTCTATGGTGCTAAGATGTTCCTTTCCTCCCCTCCTACCATAGTTCCTGTTTCATAGCAGGGTTAAGAGAAGCAAAGGTTAGCTGTGCAGCCATCATCTGTCAGCTGATTAGTGAGCCGCTCATCAACACGTGACATACATGATACAACAAAGCAGCAGAGATGTTTTGACAGGAATGGGTTGAATCTGGCTCAGTGGTCTTTTTAGAATCTGTTATCCTCGCTTGGAGAACAACCTCTTTTCAAAGCCAGGGTTGGATCTTGTGACTTTATCACTTAATTCATATTGCTGCTACTCGAGCCGGTGATCTAGATTTGTTGATCTTTATGGCTAGCACCTGAAGGTATTGAAGTGGAACATTAGAACGAGTTTAATCAGCATGCTGCGTTCGGTGACCCTTGATGCTCGTTCTACTTCTTTGAAAGTAAATGCAGGAATAACATAAAACTCCCAAGTGTTTAGACTCTTTTCCAAGTCTTATTTACTGCTGTTTTGAGTCAGCATCAGTCTAATCAACTTAAACACTAACAACTCTGCTCTGAAGTGTCCTTTGTCATTTGGCAAAGCTTGATTTGGCTTTACATTGTAACCTATTTTAAATAATTCCCTTGGGGTTCAAACCCACACCTTATTAGCCAAGATGAATTACCCTTTGGAGTTACTTAAGATCTGTATCATTCTGCTCTATAATAATTGTTAATAACCAAATTATCTTGAAACAAGAGCTTGTGTAATCGTCTACATGCTAATAATCACATCAATTGGGCTTTATCTTCACATAAAACACTCATTTTAGTTCAGCAGTTTTGAAATAAGGCATCTGTTACAGAGTGTAAGATGAACAAAACAACATGGAGGCATGATGAGGGCATGGACTCCAGCTGTTAATAATCCAGCTATGTGCTGGTCACAGCAGGACACGTGGAGTTGGCCATGTGGGCCAAATTTAGTCTGCAAAAAAGCCTTCATAATGTTTCCTACTGAGACTGGTTTCTTATTACAAATTATAAAATATCCGGACCCACAAAAAGCAGATTCTTGCTTGTGGAATCTCAATACCTAGAGGTAGTTTTGTATTGAGCCATAGTTCTCCATTGTAGTTTATTGTAGCAGGTTTTCTTTCAGTATGTGTTAAAAGTTTTGGGGATCACCTCAGCCCAGAGTGCGTGTGATCCAGAGGCTGCTGTCCCCGACCACGGCTGGAAGTCAGAGATCCTCCCACCTCGGAGTAAACACGGCCCTATAAATAGAGCTCAGGGAGAAGCAGGCCAACAGGAGAATGACAGGCATCCATACTACAAACCCCAGACTCTCTGCAGCAGAGGCCCAGTGTTGCTGTCCCGCACACACGCCCTCCAAACCCCACATCCCAATGTCAGAGCCTGTGGGTACGGTTAGTGCAGGGGCCCCCAGTGCGATCCGTCCTATCTGTCATCTTTGTTTTGCAAAACTGGTCGTTAGATGTTTCCTCTCATTACAAAGTTTTAGGCCCTTGGGACCCCATCTGTCGCTGGTATGCTGCTATTCACCAAGGGAGAAGGTCATGCTATAAAAGATGTGCACTGGTACACTTTAGATACTTTGAATAGTTGTGTGTAAATACTCTGCAGAGAATCTGGGTGGGCATGAAAGACATTGTTCAACATTGAGGAAAATGCTATTATCATTTGCATTATTGATTATCTTTTTTTCTGCTTAATTGATTGTTTTAGTGCTGAGACAATTAGTTAAATAATCTATTAGTCCATCAATAGATACGTAATCTGCAACTATTTAGATCACTGTTTAGGTGTATTTGAATATATTTGGATTTTGGACTGTCTGACATTTGAAGACGTCATCTTGGGTTTTAGTTAACTGTAATAGACATTTTTCCAATATTTTATAGCATTTTAGAGAATAAATGATTTAATACATTAAAATGAATCACACAAATAACCGCCAGATTAATCTATAATGAAAATAATCATTAGTTGCGACCCAAAATTAATGTAAACAAATACCCTTAGCAAGTTGTTTACCAGTTGCTTATTTGGCTGAACAACTGGTGGAAAACATAAAAGGAAACTGTACAAGAAGCTGCAATGTTCATTTGATAAATTACTCAAAATGAATTATTACATTTTATCCATTCATTTCCTCTTAATCATGTATTGAGTCTAATCTGATTAATCAGTTGTTTCAGCACTATTTTTGGATAGGTGATTGAATTCCTCCAATATGTAGATACTTTTAGCAGAGGGTGAGGCTAGAGCTGTAACATTGAGTGTATTTGAACAGTCAAGCAACAGAAAACTGCCAAACATTTGTTGATTCCAGCTTCTCCAGGATTTGCTGCTTAATACCACTGTAAACTGAATATCTCTGTGTTTTGGACAAAACAGGACCTCAGTTGTGTTGGGGAACATTGTGGCATACATTTTTTTTTTACTATTTTCTGATAGTTGACAGACCAAATGATGAATAGAGAAAATAACCGTCAGATAATGACAATAATTCTTAGTTGCAGCTCTAGGTGAGAGTGTTTGGAACCAGGTGATGTGAAAAGATGCTGTATATTGTATAATATATTGTGGTTGTCAGGGCACCAGCAGTCTAAGCACTTTCCATTATCAGCTACTGACACTCGTGAGATTATTGAGAACGGGACCCGAATGCACCTAAGCCACTTACATTAATTTCACTTTTTATTCTGCTGTCAAACAATATCCACATCTCTGCATTTGCATCAGAGCATGAGCTTATCGTTGCACAGGGCTGAAAAGCGGCGGTATATCAATTCATAACATCTCAGCTGACTCATCTAGTTTTCCCCTTTTCCCCTCGTCTTTCCTCCTTTCCTCCACTCCAGCGTGATTTACCATGACAACCGAATCAGGCGCAGACTCAGAGGCCAAGCAGCCGCAGGAGAACAAGGAGACGGAGAAGGGGAAAGCGAAAGCAGCCGAACCCACCTCGCCGCAGAACCAACCGGAGCAGCTTCCCGCCGCCGCCGGACACAGCACCCCAGCCAGGAAAGAACAGGTCAGCCTCTTCAGAAACCACAGCCACAACACGAGGATCCAGCCAGTGGCCACTGACAGCTTGAATTCAGTGAAAATCAGTCACCCTAGCATGCTTTCCATGTTTTGCTCATAAAAAACACTCAAGTAATTCAATTGAGAGTGGTTTTATGGCGTAAACACTGTACATATCCCTGTAGATTGGGCTTGATTTTGAGAACACATTACACACCATTCATCCCACTCCTGAATGAATTGTGTCTTTGTGTGAAAAATGGAAATGAACAAAAGAAAACATACTGACGATGTGACCTCAGTGTTCTCAGTAGCGGTTATGGCTCCACAACAAATGCATCTGTTGACAAGTAAACATGTGTTTCAGGCAGTGCTCCGTGCTTTTATTTGGGGAATGGATGAAACACAGATTGAGAAACCCCCGACAAAGTGTGGATGTTTTCATTCCTAGAGTTATGTCAGCTGATTGTACTAATTAACATAACTTCACGCAGCTGTGGGAAGAATGAGTAAACCGAGCTACTGAAGTGTAACCTCACAGCTTTTAGCATTTCGTGGTTTGAGATGTCTGTTTTAGGGCAATGAAATGAACACAAATAACTACGGCAGCCACAATGCAAACAGAAAATGTCTTAAAGGTTAAAGTAATTAATCATGAAGAAGCAGGCTTCTCAAAATATGAAGATTTGCTGCTTTTCTTTGTTTTATAACTGTAAACTGAACACATTTGGGTTTTTAACTGTTGGTTGGACCTGTCAAAGACTTTCTTTTAAAACACAATGCGAGTAAAGTTGAAACAACCGTCATTTCCAAATGTATTTAGTCGACTCACCTTGTTTGTACAGCAATGTAGTAAATGTCTTGTTTTTCTTGTAGGACAGTTAATCTTACATCTGATCCCCACTGGTCCTTGAACTCCTTGAAAGTTTGTGAATTTTAGGGGGAAAACCAAGGCCTTGAAAGTTTTTGAAAATGTACATAAATGTTTAAGAAGGTGTGGGACCCTCGATCTTAAAATTCACACCACTTTGGCACATAAACAACTCAGATTTTATTATGATTTACTGTTTAAATTGAACAATACAAAATAATAATAAATATACAAGCTTGTGGACTAAATCTATCTTTTTATATACTTGTTTATAAGAGTGAAAAACCTCCAGTTCACTGTTTGAAAGCAGTGATCTCTGTTAAGAAGAGTGTAGCCTGCAGCCTGTCCATTATATGTCTGAGCCAGCCCAAGTAGCTACTAATGTTATCTGAACACTGAGTGCTTGTCTGCAGATTTTGGGCCAAGCAACCTTCTGGGTTTACTATCTAATCGATCTACAGATTGAATTTCTACTTGTTCCAAACTGCAGGGGCACTATCTCAGACTAAAAGCAGATTCCTGCTTATTTCCTAATTTACTGGTTGAAAGTAAAACAGTGTGACTAGCTGTACATGCAACCAGATTCGGTCTTTTGCAGAGGACCTTACCGTGGTGAAATATAGTTCAAGGCAAACAAATGCCTTACATTTGAAAGTTTGAATTACCTGCACTAGCTCGAAGCTACATCACCATTAGTCTGTCTAGCTGTAACCTAAAGAGTAGAAAAATTATTGCAAGATCCGCATGAAAAAAGGTTGTGAAAGGTTTGACTGATGTTCGATATATGAATGTTCCCAGACCGCATTATTGTGGGGATAAGCTCTGAGCCGTCCTGTCTTATCACTTTTACATTTACGTGACTTGGCACTGGATTAAGTTTAAACTTGTAGATTTCTGTCAGTTACAAGCAGCCACTATTCAGGTCAAAAGGCCAAAGTCCCCACAGCCAGATGTGGACAGAAAAAAAAAAAACAGAGGTGGTTTTGCGATGTTTTTCCTTCGTATGATCTGTCACGTGTTAGAGCATGTAATTGCAATTTGAGCATGCTGAGGCTCGCACCCCCACTGACCTAACTTGTGGCTTTTTACCATGATGTGGAAAAGTGTAAGTGTGGGAATGTGTTTGATGAGGAGAAGAAATAGAGCATGAGTTTACACATGAATCATAATGGACTGTAATGAGAGAGCAGCAAAACCAGGGCGAGGTGATGGATAGATTCATTATGTCCTGGGCTGCGTAATGTAGCAACAAATCATAATAAAATGTAATATTTTAATGTTAGTTAACAAATGATGATGCATACCCTGGATTTATGAACATCTGATATTTTGTCATATTATGTTTACTGGGGTAACTATCCAATTAATGGTTGTATCACACCACCACTGATTCACATTTGTTATGTAGAGCGAAGCTGTACCAAATGCTGAAACCCTGATGCTAACATGCTCACACTGGTGAT